AAAGGGGAGTAGTTGTCCTTTATAGATAATCCAGTTTGAAAGCTAAGTGGAAAGACACATTTCTGTCTGAAATGCCTGTGATTTTTCTGCCTGAAGATATTTACCCAAAACTTTAAGGAAAGTGTAAAACTGCAGCTGATTTTAGCAACGTACTGGAGCTCTCTGGGTGCTTGTTTTGGTTTTTTGGATTTTGCCATGAGATGAGTTCTCATTTTATGTAACATTTTCCACCCGTGTGTCTCATATCATTTGCAAAGGAATAAAATCACTGTACTCCAGTACTCTGCCTGGAGACTGTAGCTCTGCTTCACGATGCAGTAGCCTCCTTGCTCTAGCTCTTGGTGAGTTGCTGTTACTTGACTTCTCAGAGCAAGCAAACATCTATTTCAGATATACTTGAAGAATTTTCCTCATAACCTCAGATATCCTTACATTTCAGTACTTCAGTAACTAGTTTCTTAATCTCTCTGCCAGTTCATCAAACAAATAGAGAATAGTAGGGGTTGAGTTTCCTACTGGCTTTTCTTTATGTCATCATTCAAGTACTGCAGAAAGCTAGTGAGAAATCTGTGTTCAGATGCTCACATGCAATTTCTGTTGCATCCTGTGGGATATGTTGCATAGCTATTTGATGGTAGATTGTATTAAAAAAAAATCTGCAAAGCATACAGTAGCATATACAAGTCATTTATGCCTTGGAGTGAAGCTTCCTCTGGTGTGACTCCACAGACGCTGTAAAATGTGTGGCAAAAACTGTTGAAAAGGGATTTCTGTCCTCTCAGACAGGTTTACAGGTTTTTTTTGGAGGGGCAAAGCATGCAACAGGAAAGGTTGGTTCCAACAGTGCTTCAAAGCCCAGCAGGTTCTAGCCTCACAGAACCTAACCAGGAGCCCCCTGGTTACCCTACAGCCATGAGTTCCATGGTGTAAAGCTTGGAGACACGTTTCCAGTGGCAGTCATAAATGCACAGAGTATTAGCTTCCTAGTGTCTTTAGAAATTCACATTGAAAAGCCTGGGCTGGGGGGAGTCTAGTCTTGTGCTAGCACTTTGTGGTGGCTGCAGATCCCTGGTACAGCCTGTCCAGGGCATGCAGCACAAATGGGCAAATACCTCTCTGCTGTGATGTGACGGATAATACTTTACATTATACATTTCCATTAATTGGATGCTATTACTACCTGATGCATAGGTCATTGCTCCTAATTAATTAGGGCCAGGAAGGTACTTAGCACTTTACAAGATGCAGATGAAGACAGATGTCCACTTGGGAAATTAAAATATACCAGTTTGAGCATTTTATGTAAGACCAGATCAACTATAAAAATCTGATATCTAGACAGATCCTAATAAACCTGATGAAAACCAGGTAAATTAGATCAGCTTAAAGCTAATAAAATGTGATAGAAATGCTCTAAGTTGTCTGCAAAAATGCTTTCAGGCAGAAGGATTAGCATGAAGTATATTTTTACAAGGATTAGGGAGAATATTTTACAGGATAAACTAGCTCATAAAATTGTTCCTTTTTACTTGAGTCTACAGATGGACTTCTCTTGTAAAATATGCAGCCTGAACAAAAACTTGCAGTTTTCTGCTATTGCAATAATAGTTTGTTCTTTCTTGACACACAATACATAAATTTGGAAGTGTTCCTGGAACAACTGAGCTATGCATCCTGGTTCCTTGGAAATAAAACTATCCAAATAATTGTTTTAGAACATATACATTAAATACTGGAATTCTGATTGCCCTTCTTTTGTTTGGGCAGAAATGCAGGTTCTGTTTTCAATGACATCTTGTTCTCAGGCATATTTTCTATTATCCTCACACATCAGCACAATAAACTTTATCTTAATATACCCCTACAAATTTTCAGCTTATTCACTTTTAAACAGTTGAAAATGTTTATATATGTGACTGTGTTTGAAGACTTTCCTAGATATATATTCTCCAACAGAAAGTGTAAATGTGTTTGAATTTAGATTTTATCTACTGTACAAAATTTCTAAATACATGGAACAGCTACTGTATTTAAAATATATATATATGTATATATATATACCAAAGTATCTAATGTACAAAGCAAACACTGTAAAATATACTTGGCTTAGACCTTTTAACCACATCACTGGGTGCTGTAAAAGAAACATTTAGCCTAAGAGCTCAGAAGATGCATGATAAAAGCTGCCCAACCGAAGTCTTTGGAGGCTGCCTGAATAATTAGTCTTGTGGGATGAAACTGGCCATGCAAGGAGGAGGATTTATACTGCTCTCTATTCCCCTTGTAAAGTGTAGCTGCCCCTCATTGGCTCTGCTAACTCGTGTGTCCAAATGCTCGTAGCAGTGAGAAGAAAAATGTTCCCACCAGCTGCTGAGCAGCAGTGACCTCCCCATCCTAGTACAAACACATAGAAGAAACTCATCTTGTTACAATGAGAATTCCACTGTGTTCTGCAGCAGCAGTTTTGGTGGAGAACTCTTTTCCACTTGTTAGCATTGGCTGTTTCACAAGGCATACTTTTGCATTTATTCAAACTTCAAAACACAACGGAATTGGGATCATCATAAGCAGGACTTTGTGTGAAGCAAATGCTGCACCCAGCTTGTCCTGCAGCTCCTCTGCTAAGGAAGTAGTGAGAGTTTGCATGGCTTTACTCGTGGGTTCACATCTTTTGTCATGTGTTTTTTTTCACAGGAATGCTTTAGCAGCACCTATTTAAACAATAGGTTAAAGATGCACTGTGTTGCCAGAAGTTTGGAAATTGCTGCTCCTTTGTTTGAGCATGGTCAGCCCAGTTCCTCAGTCAAAGGCAAAGGATTTAGAGTTACCAGTTCTTAGGAAGAGTCAGCTCTGAGTGTTAGGAAACTGAAACAAACAAGAGGGCTTTTTCCTTTTCTTTTTCTTTTTAAAGATACATTTCTGAATCTTGCAGTTGTTTTAGGTTAAACTACTATTTGAGAATGGTTTGATCATGCAATCAGCAAGCAGATAAACAAATCCTCCAACCAGTGGGCTGTTGTTGATAGCAGGAGTGGAAGGGCTGGTCTGCTTGTCTGTTACTATTTACTTCTATGCACCTCAGATTTCATTCTCTGATCTTTAGAAGCACAACTTGTGTTTCTCAAAATCCTTTGAGGAAACAAGAGAAAATTGTGAATCTGGGATGAGTAATTATACAGACACATTGTGAGACTTAGATCTATGATATTTTTGGGGCACAAACGATCGATCATACATGAATGTGCACTTCCTGGGCAGGAACATTCCAAGTAAAAATGGCACTCTATAGGAGTGGGGAGGCCTGCTCACTGTTTAATGAGGACTCATAAGAAAAATGGAGTGGCTTTTTACCAGGACATCTAGTGACAGGATAAGGAGCAATGGATTTAAACTGAATGAGGATAGATTTAGATTCAACATAAGAATTAAATTCTTCATGATGGGACTGGTGAGAAATAGCAATAGGTTACCCAAAGAAGTTGTGAGTGTCCCACCCATGGAAGTATTCAAGGCCAGGCTGGAAGGGGTTTTGAGCAGCCTGGTCTATTGCAGGTGTCCCTGCACAGAGCAGGGAAGTTGAACTAGATGATCATTGAAAGTCTCTTCCATCTCAAACCATTCTGTGATTCTCAATAAGTTTATGCATCATCTGCTAGAGCCCTCAACGCAGTCCATGACAGGTCCTGGCCCAGCTGGCAAGTTCAATTGGAATGGGTTCTGAGCCCACCTGTGACAACAATTGACTGATTTTATTTGCGTCTGTCTGTGTTAGAGTTGTTCTGTGGAGATTGTAATGTTGTGTTCATCATGACTGATGACTTATAATTTTAAAGGAAGGACCTCTGTTTTGGAGGGGTTACGCAGAGACTGGTGTGAAATAAGCAGCAATACATTTTAATCATGCACAGTATCATGCTTCTGTTTTGAAATAAGTGTTCCTGTGTTGGACACTTCTGAAACAAGGAAAACACACTTTATACACATGTTTATGTGCATGTTAACATGTACATAACATGTTACGCATCCATAAGAAGGGGATTTTACAGTTCTTTGGCTGACAGTAGATGCTGTCATGTTCATGCAAATTACTGGTTAACTAGCTATGTAGGTTTGGAGTGAAATACAATGGCTAAAAACATAGAAGTGCACACAGTGTCTGCACAGGCAGATTGGATCAGCACAAGTCAGCACTGTGCTGTTAGAGCCAGGGACACTCCATTCATTTAGATGAGCCTTGTGTGTTTATTAAAACAACAACAACAACACACCAGGAAAAGCTAAACACAAGTGAAAATGCTGCAATTACTTTTTTTTCTTTTTGTTTGTAGCAGCCAAAAGCCACAATAGATAAATGAATAAGTGCAATCAAATGTGACTTGGAACATACAGCCTGCTCTATATTTGTCCTTAACCAGTTATATGGTGTATGGTGTTCAATTTTCTGCAGGCGCCTTTCTTGTGGATTCTATTCAACTCATCTCCCCTTAAAAGCCTTACCAAATATTTACCATGTGCCCTTTCTTGCTATGCCTCTGCTTCTCCAAGCTGTTTATGCCCTGTTGTGTGTCTCCCCATCTTCTCCCAGCTCCATTCTCAGCTGCAGGAATTATCTGTTTATGAGCAGAAGCAGCCCCCCCAGTTTGTTGTTTCTGCTGGGTGGCTCCATCTGCATCAGGTACCACTGCTTTTTCATGGCTCCCTGAGGCAGGACTCCACTTCATCCAGCATCATCTCTTTGCACATTCGTTCCCTCCCACTCCCCAAGTGGGAGTGAACATTGAGTATGGAGAGTATCAGCTGGTGCCACCAAGTTGAGCATGTCTCTCAGTGTTTTTCTTGTTTCTGAGAAAGCAGTAGGGGGAAGAGAAGAGAAAGCAGTCAAGAAACAAAAGAGGTGTTTCCAGGTGAGGTTTGAAAAGAAATAGGAAGTCAATAAGGCAGTGAGTATGTCTGATATCCCCATTGAGATCTGAGTATAACCTGAGATTCTTCTTCCTTTATTTTTCCTCCTTTTTTTTTCTTCTACCTCCTACTTTGTCATCTGAGACTTTACACGAGAGTATTCAGGCTGTTGTAGCAGCAACTGTAAGAGAGGAAAACTTGGAGGCTGTGCCTAAGAAAAAAAGAAAGTAAGAAGGTGGGGGGAGGAGGAGCTGTAAGAAGATGAGAAAAGATGTGTAAGGCAAGCAAAATAAAAGGGCTTTTTAAAAGGGCTTTTTAAAAGCTGTCATGAACATTAATTTGAAGGACAGAGAGAAAAAAAACTCACTTTAATCTCAGTGATCAAAATGAGCAACACCAACGTAAGGATACAAATGGTCCAAATGAAAGTTAAAAATTTTTCAGGAAAGACAAACCAGATAACACCTGTGATTTATCTCTAGCAGCAGGAGCCAGGAAAATTCTCTATTCCTCATCTGTGTATTTCTTAGCTCCTGACAATCAATAAACTTTCCATTTCAAGACTTTTCCCCATCCACCCCTCTCTTTGTGGCTTGCATTATCAGCTGCCTGAGTACAATGTATATTGTAGTACTCTATTGTGAGTGGTCAATAGCTTCCCATTTTCATAGGGCTTTTGTCCCATGTCTCAGTAGACCTGGATACACCACTGGCACAGACAGATAAATACGTGAAAATTAAGAATGCAGGAATCTGCTAAACCCAAATACAAAAATAAAATAAAGAGAAACAGGAGTATAAGAAGACAGCATCGTGATGAGACAGGGAATCACACAGCAGACACACTACCAAGTGAGAGGTAGAATTGGAAGGAAAGGATTTTTTTTGCATGGGGCTTCATTAATTACTCACCATATTTGCATTTATGGGTTAAAATTTATTACCCCACTGATTTATAGGATAAATTTCATATGGCATTATCATTGCAGTTTCTACACGATCCTTCTATTAAGCCCTATAACACTGTAATATAACAGGAAGACAAAAATGTTGGCTCTGCCTCAAACCAAAATTCAGCATAGCTTTAAATATCTGTGTGCTGTTGTGTACCATCATATCTTAGTGAGGAAATCCTTGGCTCTTTGCAGCTGTCCTCTGGCTGTGCTCAAGTCAGCAAGGGGTACATGCAGGTTCAAGCTGCTGACACAGGGGGCTGGTGCAGCTGCAAAAGGCTGCACATCGGAGCGTGGTTCTGTGCTTCAGCTTCGAGGAGGACAGCAAGACCGATTGCCTGCCTGTGAACTCCCAATTTGAATTCACACAAGCTGGAAGTGTCCTTTTGACTTCAGTATTTCTTTGTGTACGTGATAAATGGTTAATTGCAAGGTTAATTACAAGGAGGAACTGGTTCTGGCAAGGAAGGGGCCAGAATACTTAGTGTTTGTTTCCGTGTGGTCATGCTCAGATTCCCCCATGCTGGAAGAAAATCCGCCTCCCTTCTGGCTTTTCCAGGGGAAGTCCAAAACCAGTCCTTGAAGATGACCTTATAACACTGAAAACAAGCAATTCGTTGTTGTAGCATGGAGCTGGTGACACAGAGTCTCCTTTTACTATCAGTATAAATGCATTTTTCTCCTTGTGCTGTAATACCCTCATTAGTGCAAAGAAAGCCAGGAAATCAGCACTATCCTAACTCCCTGGGCTCTCCTTCCCATGCTCCAGACTCTCACTTTCTGCAGGTTCATCAGTAAAAAAGAAAATAATATTTTTTTTCCCCTGGGTTGCAGAAGGGGTAAAATAAACTAGGGCTTACATGGAGCTGGTGAGTGTGCATGAGGCATCCCTGCTCTCTGCTGGGCTTCTGTGGCCGCCTTGTAGAGCGGTTGCTGCAGGAAGTCATCCCCCCCTTGAAGCTCAGGCAGCTGCAGCAGGTGCTTACACTTACAGACAAATTAGGTTTGGCCATTTGCAGGATCAGCTAGTGTAAAAGTGTAAGCAACTCTGGGAGGGTCTGGAGTGGCCTGTAACCCTGTGCTGACTGCAGGCTGATTCAGCTGGGTATTAGTCCACAGCACATCACTGAGTGAGTGCTCAGTGAGATTGTAGATAAAAATAAAATCTTAATTTTTGTTCATTAGGAGATCTCATGGCTTCAACAGAATCACAAAGCAGGTCAGAGAGGATTCTTTGGGTTCAGATTCCTGACAAGTCAGCTGTTTGCTATTAAACGGGTCACACAGCTGCTTTTCTTGCAGATCAACTACATCTTTGTAACACTTGAGAAAGTGAGGCCTCATTAAAATGAGTGCTTCATTGCTACTGAGAGAATGGAGAAAAGATGGAGGGATGAATGTAGAGGCCCAAGCTGAATGGGAGGTGTGGTCCAGGAAGGTGTGAATGTAGGTCTGCTTCTTCAGTGTTTCTCTTCTCTGTGTGTGCTCCTGCCTGCATTAGTGGGGCTGGAGTGTGAATGTGAAACCCTCTGATTTAGGATGATAATATGAACACTTGTCTTCATAATAAAAAATAATATTTAAAGAGACCTTTCTGGCATAAGCTAACCTTGTCTCAGAGTGGTTTATAATCTGTAATTGCTGGTAGTGAATGCTGTCAAAAGAGGTCTCTCCACAGCAGCTGTTTTTATTGACTTTTATTTTAAGCTGCTTGGCACTGTAAAATCTGGAAAGTGTTTTCACTGAAAAGAAATTTTATTTGGAGTCCTAAGACCAGCCAAAAAACCTGTACTTGGCCTATGGCAGAATCCATGGTGTAAAAGATTTTCAAAATCAAAACACTGTCAGGTGTGACTGAAGTGACCCAGGGAATTCATTAAAGTCTCTGCTTCGAAGAGTGCATATAAATCTACAAAGAGTTACTTGTCTTTTTTTGTTTACCTGCTGATGCTGCAGAAACAGGACATTATTGGAAGTTCTGGAGCGCAATAGCAAAAGTTTTTAAGTATGCATTTTCTGAGTCTCATTACCTGTTAATGCTCTTTTGAGTGACTCCTAGTTGAAAAATTAAGGCTCACATGGCTCCCTCTTGCTCTGAGTTTGGATCTGGATCAGAATATTAAATACTTCAAAGTTCAGGTGTGCATGGATGAAAGGTTTTGATTCAGACTACTAATAGTGTTATTAATTTAGCTTGAAGTTAATAACATAATTATTAATATGAACTCTGAATTTTCTAGCTGTTTGCATCTCTTAAACTTTTGACACAATCCTGCCAATTTTTCTTCAGGTTCACAAGAGTCCTTGTCATAGGTATGCTGGGATGCTGATGGATATAGAACTTACTGTAAAAGGCAGTTGTGTTCCTCAGCTGTTAATTTAATTGCAATGCCTGGAGAAACCTTTTCCAAGGTGGGAGAAAACATCTCTGTTTGGCTTGGTGGTATGCAGCAATACTGTTTTAGTTGCCAGGGATACTAGAGCTGGATGAAATACCCTGTTTAAGCCCCTCCCTACCCCTCTGAAGGCTGTGAAACGCGAGAAAGATTTGATGATCTTTGGTAAATGATTTGTGGTACAGGTTCCCAAGACTCATCTTTTTAACTTGTGTGAAGGTTGATAGGGATGTAAGCAAAAGTCAAAAAACCTCCTTAAAATTCCTTTTGGATCATCTTGCTCATAAAACATTTCCTCATCCTTTCAAATGCATCCCTTTAACCTTGAGCTTCCAGCTAATCAGGCTGTGGGATGCCACAGTGTCTGCTTGGGTTAATGGGTTATCTCGGGCAGTGAGTTATCTGACCCCTTTTTGCTGCTGATATCTCAGATCTTCTGAAAGATGAGAGTCTCCAGAGTGATGGAAACAACCTCTTGCTCGTGCCCCTTTCCCAGGGGAAGCATGCAGTGCATACTCTCCTCTCCCAGACACTGCTGGCCTCTGCTGATGATGTAGGCACAAGAAATAGATTTACTCCTCCTTAGGCCAAAGTACAGCTCATTCTTGACAAATGAAACTATGGTATAGGTATATTGGGTTTGCATGGCAAGGGTTTGGTAATGGGGACTACCAGGGTGTTTTCTGTGAGAAGCTGACAGAAGCTTCCCCCATGTCCAGCAGAGCCAATGCCTGCCAGCTCCAAGACAGACCCAGACTGGTCAGGGCCAAGCCCCTCAGCAGTGATGATAACACCCTGGGATAACAGATTTAAAAAGGGGAAAAAACTACTGTGCAACAGAAGCCAGGAGAGAGGAGTAAAAAAATGTGAGCCAAGCAGCTCTTCAGACACCGAGGTCAGTGAAGGAAGATGGGGAGGGAGGAGGTGCTCCAGGCACCAGAGCTGGGATTCCCCTGCAGCCCATGGTGCAGGCCATGGTGAGGCAGCTGTGACCCTGCAGGATCCCCCTGCAGGAGGATCCCAGGGGAACAGATCTATGCAGCCCCCACACCAAAGGAGAAAGTGTCCCTGTGGGAAGCCTATGGTGGAGCAGGCTCCTGGCAGGACCTGTGGCCCGTGGAGAGAGAGGAGCCACATTGGAGCAGGTTTGCTAGCAGGACTTGTAACCCTGTGGGGGACCTGCACTGGAGCAGTTTGTTCCTGAAGAAATGCACCTTGTGGAAAGGATCCACTCTGGAAAAGCATGGACTGTCTCATGTTGGGCAGAGCACATGCTGGAGCAGGGGAAGAGTGTGACAAGGAGGGAGCGGCAGAGACATGATATGAACTGACTACAGCTCCCATTCCCCACTTCTCTGCACTGTTTGCAGTGAGAAAGTAGAGAACTTGGAACTAAAGTTGAGCCCAGGAAAAAGGGAGGGTGTGGGGAAAAGGTTTTTCAAACTGGTATCAGTTCTCATTATCCTACTCTGATTTTAATTGGCAACAAATTAAAGTAATTTCCCTAAGTTGCAGCTGTTTTACCTGTGATGGTAATTGATGAGTGATGTCTCCCTGTCCTTATTTCAACCCCTGATCCTTTCATCATATTTCTCTCATCCTGTTTAGCCATGGAGTGGAGTGACAGTGATTTGGTGGGCATCACAGCTTATTCTTGATATAAGAAACCCTGGTTTTCAGTAACCTGAATATGTATTTCCATGTGTATTCCATTTGTTTTCCCAGGGACTGCAGGAAAAAACCAACAGAATGAACAGGGTCTGAGGGTATAATATTCATTATTTCCTTGTCAAATCCATAATTTTCAGTTAGTCCTTGTAACAGAAGATGTGTGTCAATATGACTATTACATATATTAAAAAAAAAAGAAATATTATTAAAAATTACTAAAAAAAAAGAAAGAAAAAAAAATTTGAAAGTTTGTCTTGTGAAAACAAGCAAAACTTTTGTCTTCCACACCAGGAATAGAAACAGAATTAAATTATTTGTCCATATGTTACCAGTTTACAGGCAGTTTGACCTGGTGGGATTTTTTGTTCCATATGAAGATGGTCTGTACCTCTTAGCAAATTGTGTTTTGAAATGTGAAAGAGAAGGAAAATTACTCCTTTTGAGCAGTATGGGCTATCACAACATCTAATGAAGTGGATATTGTTTCTCAGTCTCCACAGCATGACCTCCCTCAGTTTTCTGACCCACAGGTCCCATCTGCTATCAGCAAACTGTCACAGCTACAGGGATGGGCACCATCACAGTGATCACTGGTTCTCCCAGTTCTGCATGTGTGGCATAGTACACCAACAAAATTGTTCCTCTCTGTCCAAAATCTTTCTATTATGGTGCCGTGCTCTAGGGAAATGGATTTGAATCCTGCAGTGTTGTTTCACGTGATTCATTCTCTGAACCAGTGAGCTCCATCACTCGTTTGTTTTAGGAAATAGTAGTAAAAGTTGTAACTGAGGAAGAGTTTACTTTACCTACAGTTTGTGCAGAAGTAGAAGCTTTGAAATCCAGACTGAAAATATGTCCATCCCCTGCTTCTCATACATTCTCCAGTTTCTGTTTTGACTTCCTTTGAGCCCAAAACTGAAAGCTGAGTTCTTTTCAACCTGTGGCACACTTAATAAAAGCTAAAAAGTTACTCAAAATGAGAGAGGAGAATTTAATTCATCTTTCCCCAAATAACTATGCCTTTGGAGCACATTCTTTGGATTTAACCTTTTTTAGATCGGAATTTTTGAGTCTTTTTTACCAAAATTTTTTCCAGCTTAAGTGTCTTTTACATCTTTTGGAGTTCCTCTGAATAGGGGAAAGTTTGCTGGGAGAACCACAGTTTTCTTTATCTCCTGCTGTTAAAGCATATCAATACGTGCCTTGCTTGCCAGAAGTGCTTGTCTCAAACAGAATTTCAAGTAAAAAAATTTGTCTGGATGAGAGGACATTGCAGGGTTTAATTAAATATATATGTGTGTTTAATGAAGAAATACTCTGCAAAAACACCACAGAAGCTAAAATGGTGAGATTATTCCTTCAATGAAGATTTTCTTGTCCATTGTTTTTTGGGAACAACACTTGTTTTAATTCTCAGTTATTCCAGTTCCAGGCAAAATTTGATATTCTTTCACTTCAGCTGAAGCAAATGTAAGAAATTAATTAGCATAAAGCTAAAGATACATCAAAGGCTAAAGTGACAGGTAATGGCTGAAATGTTGAAGATTCCTCTGTTCAGGCACAAGAGATACTTTTACACTGGAGGAAGAGAACACCTGCCAAGTCCATGTCAGCATGGTACTACTGCTGCTTCTTAGGGTTGTTTATAATAATGTGAAGTCAGTTTGAAGTTCACTTTGTGCTTGTGGATTACAGATGCTCCTTTTTTCTGCATACCTTTTGAAGAATTGGGTGTTATTTAAGGTTATTGGTCTTGGATGAGTAAAAAGATACAAAGTTATGGGTACTAACTTTAAAATTGATCTCTGTGGAGCAGAGCTCTGGCAGTTGTGTGATTCCAATATGGTGTCACTTTGTGGCAGTTCC